AATGTAATTCACATATGAATGACATGCAATTCACATTTAAATCATATATAATTATATGCACTTTAAAAAATATGCGTGTGTGCGCCTAAAACATTTTTTTATTAAAACAATATAGTTTTTTGTAAATATTCCAGTTTTAAAAAATTTACTGTTTTTAAAAAAAATTTATTTTTTTAAAATGCAATTTTTTTAAAAACGTTGTTTTTTTCAATTAAAAAACAATCATTTTCTATAAAAAAAATTACAAAATCTGCATTTTGTTAAAAAAAAAAATCAAAACTTATTATTTTGATCAAAAAAATCCAAAAATTTGATTTATAATGTTAATTGTTATGTATTTTTATTAACATTTCTATTAACACAAAAATTTTAACATTAAATGAGATTGGTAAGATGACGATGATGCCCTTATAAAGTTAATTTTGACCTAACGTTTCACCTTTATTTTTTGGGTTGTCGTGGAATTATAGGCTGCGTTTAGTTACGGAAAAATAGTTTTCATTATTCATTTTCAGTTTTAGAAAATTAGAAAATGTGTTTAGATGTGTATTTTCTATCAGTTTTCATTTTAAGAAAACGGTAGCATTGGTATGATAGGCATATGGGGGTGGTTGCGGTGCTGGGGCAGCGGTGGGGGCAATGATGACGACGGTGGTGGTGGTGGTGGCGGTGGCGTTAGTAACGGGGTAGCGTCAGTGGTAGTGATTATAGGTCGTGATGTGGCGACGACAATTATGGCAATGGTAGTGATGGCGACGACGATAGTGGTGGTGCTGGTGATAGGGTAGATTGTGGTTGTGGTGATGATGGTGATAGTAGGTCGGTGATTGTGGTAGTGGTGTTGGGTGGGTGGTTGTATGTGTGTGTGTACGTGTGTGTTTGTTGGGGTTGGTGGGTATGTGTGTGTTTTGTGGGGGTTGGTGTGTATATGTGTGTGTGCATGTTTGTGGGGTTTCTGTGTGTGTTTGTGGGGGTTGGTGTATGTGTGTGTTTGTGTGTGTGTATGTGTGTGTGGGGGGGTGTATATGTGTGTATGTATGTTTGTCGCAATGTGTGGGTGAGGGAGGGTGGGTGTTTGTGGGGGAGTTTGTGTATGTGTGCTAGTGGGAGTTGGTGTTTGTGTGTGTGTATGTGTGTATACGTATGTGTGTATGTGTATGTGTATGTGGGGGTGGGGATGGGCTTTGGAGAAGGTGTGGGTAGGTAAGGATATGGTGGGTTCGGGGTGTTAAGGCGGAGGTAAGTAGAGGTGAATGGGTTGGGAATGGGTGTGTGTTTATATTTAAAAAAAATTGAATTAGAAAAATATGGAGAACAATGATTCTCGGTTTTACAAATATTTCCAACTTCTTTATAATTTCAGAAAATGGAAAATTTTCATTTTCTATTAAAAAATTAGAAAAATAGTCAAGCTAAACACGTTTTCAAAATTCTCATTTTTCTTGGAAATTTTTTCCGGAAAACGGCTCATTTTTCCGCAACTAAACGCACCCATAAGTTGTCAACTAATTTTACCCTTATGTGTGTGTGTGTCTATATATATATATATATATATATATATATATATATATATATATATATATATATATATATATATATATATATATATATATATATATATATATATATATAGAGAGAGAGAGAGAGAGAGAGAAAAGGGTTCAATTGAGAGAAAAAAATGATGAGAATGGGGGAACCATTCTCAGCCAATAATTTAATGAGCTTAAAAAACGCACAGTGGAAAACTTGTAAATAATCCAAATACATTAGTGAGCGGTGGCAAATTTATCTTGGACTCCATCAATATCTCCGTCTCTAATCTACACATCACCACTACATCCGTCATCCTACCACATAAGCAACCGTGAATCTGGGTCACGGAATCCACTTGATGGCAAGGATCTGGCACCGTCGTCAGAGGTTACGATTTAGCACTCGATTAAGCACTCCGATTAGGGTTATCGTCACCATGTCAGACAACGGTGACCTCGAACTTCATCTTTGTCCTTCTCCGATGACCACTAAGAGAAAATAAGCAGCGTTACAGGGCTCGATTTCCTTGGCAACCACTAGTGTAATGGGAACAGAATGTGAAGTTGGACTAGGAGCAGATGACGACGTCGACGATGAAAAACCACCACATTGTAGCTTCCTATAATCAACAGGACCAACATCTCTAGATGAACACTCCCCCACCAGCCAAAGTATCATGTTTTTAACTTTCAAAAAAAAATTAACTTGTATGCACTCCAATTGTTTGATACAATACATAAACTAAATTACCATGTTATATTCAAATATGAATATGTTTTCTCACCAGAATCAGTATATGATTATTAAAAAACACAAAACAAATATGAAAGTCTGTATATTATTCATATGTGAATAACATATAAAAATTATATATATTTGTGAAAATACATTGTAATATTAATAAGTGCATATATTCACAAGTGAATATACATTGTAATATTCATAAATGAATATATTATCTAATATTCACAAGTGAATATACTATGTAATATTCACATTTGATATACCATATAATAATATCTAATATTCACATATTAACATATCATTTAATATTCAGAAGTGAATATACCATCTAATATTCATATGCAAGTATATTATGTTAATATTCATAAGTGTGAATATACTATGTTTATTATATGGTATATTCATATATGAATGATACTTAAATTATAAAGAAAAAAATTATCATACTTTTTATTTATAAGTAAATATCGAATGTACTGTAATAAAACCTAATGCATTTTTATTCACTTATCAATAACGATAGCTGAAAATATAAAAAAAAAAAAAATTATTTTATCTTAAAGCTATATCAATATGGATATCTATCTGTAAAGAATAAAAAATCATGAATTTTGGTATATTTAAAATAAATTTTCGATAAAAATTGCATCTTAAAAAAAATGAAACATGTTTTTTTGGAAAAACATGTCTATTTATTACCCATTTCCGATGGTACGACGAAGGTTGTTGCGGCAAAAATAAATAAATTATAGAGAATTATTCGTTCATTCTCAACCTTTTTTTATTTTTTCTGAATTGAACTTACCCCCCCCCCTCTCTCTCTCTCTCCCTTTCTATATATATATATATATATATATATATATATATATATATATATATATATATATATATATATAGCGAGAGCGAGAGAGAGAGAGAGAGAGAGAGAGGAGGGTTCAATTGAGAGAAAAAAAATGTTGAGAATGGGGGAACCGTTCTCAGTCAATCATTTAATGAGCTTAAAAAACACACAGTGGAAAAGTTATAAATAATCCAAATACATTAATGAGCAGTACCAGATTTATCTTGGACTGCATCAATATCTTCGTCTCGAATCTACACATCACCACTACATCCGTCATCCTACCACATAAGCAACCGTGAATCTGGGCCATAGAATCCACTTGATGGAGACGATCTGGCACCATCGTTAGAGGATACGATTTAGCAATCGATTTAGCACCGCCATTGTAGATCCAACTCCGATTAGGGTTGTCTTCACCATCCAAGACAACGGCGACCTCGAACTTCATCTTTGTCCTTCTTCGACGACTGCTAAGAGAAAATAAGCAGCGTTACAGGGCTCGATTTCCATGGCAACCACTAGTGTAATGGGAACAGAATGTGAAGTTGGAGTAGGAGCAGATGACGGCGTCGACGATGAAAAACCACCACATTGTAGCTTCCTATAATCAACAGGACCAACATCTATAGATGAACACTCCCCCACCACCCAAAGTATCATGTTTTTAACATTTAAAAAAAAATTAACTTGTATGCACTCCAACTGTTTGATTAAATGTATAAACTAAATTACCACATTATATTCAAATATGAATATGTTTTGTCACTTGAATCAGTATATGATTATTAAAAACCCAAAACAAATATGCAATTCTGTATGTTATTCATATGTGAATAACATATAAAAATTATATATATTTGTGAAAATACATTGTAATATTCATAAGTGAATATATATTCACAAATGAATTTACCTTGTAATGTTCAGAAATGAATATATTATCTAATATATTCACAAGTGAAAATACCATGTAATATTCATATTTGATATACCATATAATACTATGTAATATTCACATATGAACATATCATATAATATTCATAAGTGAATATACCATCTAATATTCACATGTGAATATATTATGTTAATATTCATAAATGTGAATATACTATATTTATTGTATGGTATATTCATTTATGAATGATACTTAAATTGGAAAGAAAAAAAATTATCATACTTTTTATTCATAAGTGAATAACGAATGTACTGTAATAAAACATGGTTTATTTTTATTCATTTATGAATAACGATAGCTGAAAATATAAAAAAAATATTTTTTCTTAAAACTATCTTAACATGGATATCTATCTTTAAAGAATAAAAAAATCATGAATTTTTGGTATATTTAAAATAAATTTTCGATAAAAATTGTTTCTTAAAAATTAAAAAAAAAAAATTAAACATCTTTGTTTGGGAAAAACATATCTATGCATTACCCATTTCGATGGTACGACGAATGTTTTTGCGGAAAAAATAAATCAATGACAGAGAATTATTCGTTCATTCTCAACCTTTTTTATTTTTTCTGAATTGATCTTATATATATATATATATATATATATATATATATATATATATATATATATTATATATATATATATATATATATATATATATATATATACACATTGATAAAAAAAAATTCTAAAAATTAAAAAAAAGATTGGTTCCTTGATTAATTATAGTTTTCTATTAAACCTTTTATATATATATATATGCGAGGTGCTTACGCAAACGGACGAGGTTGTGTCTACCATACGGTCGCAACATACAAAGATGGTAACTCCATTACTTTTAGTTCTATTTTTCCTTAATCGCATATACTACAACCAGTTTTTAACCGATTCATAACAGCGAGGAAATTAAGCTAGAATTTTGAATGGCAACTAGTGATGTGGAGCTTCAAATAGAAGACAGGATTGGGCGTACAGTACTTCAAGAACTACGTGACGATAACGAAAAAGCACGGGATCTTGGCAATGGTGGTCTACCATTAATTTTCATCTTTCCTAGTGTGTTCCGAGATCTCAGCCCAAAATGTTTTCAGCCTAGGATGGTCTCTATTGGACCTCTTCACAAACAAGACAAACATTTGAATGAATTTGAAGTTAAAAAAACGAGTTATGTACATCGTTTTTTGTATAGTTTAGGTACCACCCCCGACCAAATGTTAGAAGACTGTGCTGTAGGTACTGAGTAGTAAGTTAAAATTCATTAAGGCATGTTACGCCGAGTAGTAAGTTAAAATTCTTGAAGATAATTTTGTACGTCGCAATGTTAGCCTAGACAGAAATCATGACCATATTCTTGGCCTTCTGCACAAACATTTCCACCCTGTGAACAATATCCGATCCGGGGATTATACGAACCCAAAGAGGCACTCGGCCTTGGAACTGGATAGTGCAGGGGTTAGCTTTATGCCTTATGAAGATGATAATTGAGCATTGGCCATGAAAGTGGAATATTTACCTAGGTTTTCATGGCTCCCATGGTTTTGGAATAAGCCTACTTTGAGGATGCCAAAACTTATTGTTGATGATAGAACTGAACTGTTTTTAAGGAACCTCATTATATACGAGCAGTCTTCTCTAGTTCCTAAGTACGTTACAACTTATGCTTGGGCCATCGGTATGCTTATAGAGACTCCAGAGGATGTTGCGAAGTTGGCAAAATCAGAGGTCCTAGTTACAGTAAGCTCGGACCAGAACGCTAGAAATTTAATAAATAACATATGCAAAGAAGTTTTGTATGGGGATTTCTTTTATCATCAAAAATGGCAAGAATTGGATGACTATTACAATAGTTACTGGCCGAATGCTGCTGCAGGGTTGAAGCGAACATATTTCAGTAGTCCATGGAATATGATTGACGCTCTATTTGCTGGAATCGTTTTGTTTGTTCTTACCGTGGTTCAGACTATCTTTGCTGTAATGGCCGAAAATCCGTAAATTGTGATTAATCATTAGATTTTTTGTTGGTTTTTTCTGCCTTAGTTGTTGACGGTTTAATTCTATGTTTTTTTTTTCGTTGTCTTCATGTATCAATGTTAAGTTTGTCACTTTCGTATGTTGTTTAAAGGGATAATTGTTTATTTGTTTTTCTAATTTGTGAAAGAATTTTATTTTCTATAGAGAATATTTAACGCGTGAAACCTTTAAACAAGTAAATTTTGTGAAAGCTGATTACGGATTTCCAGCAGATAAGGATTCAAAGGTTGATTTTTATTTTTATTTTTTATTTTTTTGTTAAAAGGCAATCTAAATCACTCATATTCTAGACCTAAAATGATTCATATTTTCACAATATAACTTGAGAATAGATATGGAACGATAATGAACCTGGAATAGGTTAAATTGTGGCCTTATAAAACCTGAAAGAAAAGACTTCTATGGAAAAGTTATGTACATGTAGAGGCCTCAATTCAACATTTCTTTGAATTGTTGGTTGTAAGACCATCTTCAACTTATTTCTATTTTTCCCTCTAAAATTAAGTAAAAAATAAGATAAATACTATTTTATCTCCAATCTTAGTCTATTTTTTACTTCTATATATTTTATTCTTCTAACTTATATAAATTATAGAAAACACTTTTTTTTATTAATTTGATTTTAACAAATAAATAATCTATATTTTTTTCATTACAATAATATTAAATAAATAATATTATATTTATAATACGTACGTAATTATAACCTTTTGTAAAATAAGTTGTTATGTTTTATGATTTTAAATATCTATTTAAATTTTAATTAGAATTTGTTAAACAAAAAACAAACTTTATATTTATAATTAATTAATATAATTTAATATATAACACAATATTATAAGTATTAAATATTACATTTAAATAATAATTAGTAGATAAAAAACAATAAATATATAAATATATAAAACAAGGGAGTAAAATCGACAATTCAAAGTTTATCCCTATTTTGGGGGAAATGAATAGTATACTATTCAATTTCCTTGGTGTTATATTATTCACTTTCCCCAAAATGGGGGAATAAATGAAGTAGACTTGGAGAGGAATGGGAGAAAAATAAAAAATGAGAGTGAGTTAAAGATGCTCTAAATACACCAGAATGAGGATTCAACTATCTAGGAAATTTTAGTCCACTTGGTAGAAAAATATTTTTATGATGAAATTTTCTGAGTTTGAATGGTGGTTTAATAATAAATATACTTTCCACGAGTCATATGTAGAAATTAAAAGCTTTGATATTTAGGAGTTTAATAAGGATACCAAGTTGACATAATGAGTCAATAGTTGTGTGTTCATTCTTTACCGCAAACTAAAATCAACATTGCATAGCAACCCAAAGTACAGTCTAAGGTGTTCATCTGTGTTGATTAAGCTATGAAACTTCTCATCCATGTAGCTACTACATTTATAATCAAAGCTAAGCAGCTACTCATCATTAAACTTAAATGCATCTGACTATATATATATATATATATATATATATATATATATATATATATATATATATATATATATATATAGTCTCAAGTTATTATATCCTAACTAATTATTATGGCGATGTAGGAATGATTGTGGACATTCATTTTAATTATTTAAAAAAAGACATTTATCTATATTATTAAATTAAAAAATAAAAGAATATTACCATTTAACTAAAAGAAATGTAAAAACGTACATTTGCGTTACTTTTAAATTAGGAAGCACAAATTTAGAAAGGAAATTTTCGAATTTTAAGAGATTTTTTATTATATTAATTTTGAATTTTGAAAATTTTTATTAACTTAATTTTAATTCTGTTTGAAATGTTATTATATGAGAATGATAAATGTTATTTTGTTAAAGTATTCACTAATGGGGTTGAAACGGATTAGATCTTACGAAACAAATCGTTCAAAATTGAAAAACATAAAGCATGAATCGGAATCATGGATGTTTTGGAATTCATTTGAGAATTTGTGATACTTTTTTGATGAATCGAGTTCCATTTTCAACGAACGAATCAAATTTAGAAGATCTTGGTTCTTTTTTTGGAACGAATATAACTTCAATTTGAACATTGTACCACCCATTATGCGTGATGCATAACTCGTTCTTCGTGTTCGTCAACGATCCAAGAACATCTTCATAAGAACCACTTTGGGTTTTGACTTCAAATTCAATGTAAAAATTGGAGATTGTTTCTTTGGAATCTTTATAACAACATTTGATGATATTTGTGAATAAACCCACTTGTTCTTCCGTTTAATCTTCTTCTTCTTTTTCTTTCACATCTTTTTGTATCTTGAAGATTTGATTTGAAGAACAACTTTATTATTGACAACTTCAACTTTGCAAGTTTGAATTAAATCTTTTGGAGTTTGATACTTGTGAATTTCTTGGATTAACGGCTTTTGATAAGGAATCATTCTTTCAAACGAATCACAAGAACACAAAATATCATCGGTTTGAATTCCAATCAAGCAAAAAACTTTTTCAGCTTCATTAGAATCAAGTTGAACTCCTTTTTTCTTGAACATCAAGAACACGATGATCATCATCAAGAACATTTTCCTAAGCTTGACGACAATCTGCATAATATTCAAGTTTATTGCTTCAATATTTACATTCAGCAGGAGGAATTCCTTTTATGACTTCACCTTCTTTCTTATTTCTTTGTCTCTCTTGATACGTTGGAATCAAGAGATCAAACGAATCTTTGATTTGATAAATTGGATGACTAATTAATTCTCCAACCTCATTCTTTTCTTCATTTGAAATGACTGTATCTTCACTTTTTAATCCAACAGTCCAGCAATAAAGAAGGGATTCAAAAGTATGTTCACCTAGAAAATTTTCTTTATGTATCAACCATTTCTCCATAATTTCTTCTTCCTTTTCGAATCAAATGATATGAACTTGGGTTTTCTAGAGAGAGAACATGATAATCAAGGAGATATCTAGAGTGAGAAAGTGAATATGAACCAAATTATAGTGAGACAAAGTGGTACAAACAAGTATTCTAGAGAGAGAAAATCGAATTATGGATCAAATCAAGGAAAAATTAGATTTCTTGAACACAAAACACTCTAAACACGAAGATCAATAAGAACATGAAGAATCACCAAATCAAGAATGGCATCCTGGATCAATTCTTGATCAAATCAAGAACTACTTCTTTGATACCAATTGTAGTAGTGTTGATTATGATGACATGTGCAGAATAAGAAAGATCTAGTGAATCATCATACAAATCAAGAACACATGGAGTAAATAAATCTTGTTAAGCTCTTATTAGATGTAGAAAGAACATATGAAGTGGGTCTTGTATAAATTCTCTCTCTAGTCTAACACTCAAAATGGTTCCTTTACATATTGGGAGTCACTCACTTCCTACTTATAGGAAAGCCTCAACCCATTTACACATACAAGAGGATAAGCGTAAACACTCCATATTAAAACATCATCAAATCAGAGTAAATCAAAAAACGCGGAAACATGTGGTGTGTGCTCTACAAATCATCCCAAGCTCTTCTATTTGAAAACCGAAGTACTTGAAACAAAAACTAAAAACCATAAACACAAATATTAGTGAGTTCCCCAAGATACTACATACTAAACATACATAAATCACATAATGGGCCCCGACCTCCATTGGGCATCACCCGGTATTGAGTCTCACTCGGCCTTAGGCCCCGCTCCGCTTCTGCTCCTCCCAACATCAAGCCCCACTCAGATTATAAATATGTCAATCACTAGGCCCTCCTGACATTGGGCCCCACCCAATACACGCATAATCATATCACCATATAATCATATAAACATACAATCTTAATAGCCTAGGAAATAATCACAAAGACCAAAGCATACCATACATTCATTGATCCTCGCTCGGCATCGGGCCTTACCCGGTAAGCATAAAAACATATACTAATAACTACCATACAATATATTCATCTGGCCCCACCTAGCATCAAGCCTTGTCCGGTAATCATACCATTACACAAAACATGCAAGAGTCGTGCAGATATCTAGCATCCTAAATAAACCCGACATTGGTGCATTCGACCTGCTAAACCCAATAAGAAAACTCACCTCGCACTACCGAATCACATAGATAATCCCTGACCGCTGGCTGAAAGATCCCCAAACTATCAATATCAAATAATATTCAATTAATAACTAGATTCCCATCCAAACCATCTGACCATTACTACGGGAAAAGATCAATTTACCCTTTACCTAGTTTCAATCAAGACTTAAGCCCAAACCTAATAATCCAAAAGTCCCAAATACCAAATTAGCCATCCAAGGCCTAATTCATGGCCTAATTTTCCAAATTAGGCCTAAATCCCATTGTAGCCCTTCACAAATAATTATAAACCAAAACCCTGATGGCCCAACAGGGCCTAAGAAAACTAAGCCCAAAAGATGGCATAAACTGATGCCCAATATCGAAATCCAATACTGCTGAGTACGTGGGGTGTACTTTACTGTGCGCTAAGCGTACACGCTAAATGGCTAATACACCGTGCGTATAGACTTTTATGCCCAACATACTCACCCAAAAGCCAAAACCTTCCTTAAGTACTTAATGCTTAAGACCAGAAGTCCAAAACACATATCTACTTCTTAATAAATGTCTATAACCATAAAGTCACTGACTTGGTGACTTTGAATGCCCCAAAATACCCAACATCAAAATATATCACTTCACTTTCATTAAATGGACATAATCTCATGCATGGGTGATTGTAAACCTTAAAGGTGCAAACTTTATGGACTTTGAACCTTAGAAACACCAAGAGTGGCAACTCATAGCTTTTGGAGTGGTCCCCAACCACTAGATCTCATTCATGGGGCCAAAAGGATCCAAAACTCATATAGACTAGATATATGTTTCTTATGAGAAAAGTCATAGCTTTTTACCTAAAATAAGTTGGATATGAGGTAGAGAATCAGGATCCACAAGCTCTTCCTTGATCCACAACCTTGCACCAAACTCCTTCTTCTTAAATATGAACCAAAACACACCAAGATGCACGCAATGAGCTCAAATACATAATAATGCAGGCTAAAGGACAATTTCTAGGGTTTTGGGGTCTTGGAGGCTGGTAAAGAGGCCAACCCTAAAGACTTAAAGTGCTTATATAAGGTACAACACCCTTAATTAGGGTTTTCACTTACTCCTCGTACGCGCCACGTACTCCTCATACGTCCAACGTACGAGGTCTCGAATCCACGAACCACACTTCGTAGTACGTTAAGCGTACACCAATGTACGCCTCGCACCAGTACGCCCTACGTACTACCTAGGTATGCCCTGCTTACTAGGGTTTTCGTCACACCCTAATATACTTTGAAGGCCATAACTTCCTCATTATAAATATGATTTTGACAATCCTTATATCCATGAAAAGGTAACAAGAAGCTATATGATTTAATCAACTCATACTTGCCTCACAATTTCCCGAACAAAAAAAATCAATTTACATTAAAGCTTGAGCTGAGATACAACCAAAATACCCTTTGGTTCTAAAACACAAGCCGAACACCCAGATGATCTAAATTACATCATCCACCTCCAAATGAGTTTAAGTCTTAATTCCTCAAGGGTCCTAAGTCTGCTAATACCCAATCCTTGATCACTACCCCGAAATGAGAAACAATTCGAAATAGGGTGTTACAACAATCCATGTAAGCACTACGCTATTTTTGCCACACTTTAGTTAAAATTTGCTATTTGTTAGGGGCGGGTTATCACATTTGTCATGCTATATATATATATATATATATATATATATATATATATATATATATATATATATATATATATATATATATATATATATATATATACGAAAAACAAAAAAAAAACCCTAAAAATCTTTAAAATGCATAAAAAAAATACCTTAGAGACCACAAAATGTTTTTTTTTTTAATTTAAATATAAAAAATCACAGGTTTTTCTTAAAAATTCTTTGAAAAAAAAAATTCCATTTTTTTTTAGTTTTTTTTTTCAAAAAAATATTCAGCGAATTTTCCCTAAAAGCTGCAATTTTTTCATTTATAAAGTCAAAAAAAAAAAAGTTTTGTTATCTTTAAGTATTTTTTTTTATGTATTTTTATGATTTTTAAGGTTTTTTGTTTTCCATAGAACCTAAAATTATATATATATATATATATATATATATATATATATATATATATATATATATATATATATATATATATATATATATATATATAGTCTTTAATTAATTTAGAAAATAAATATTGCAAAAATATTATTTTTTTAAAAACATAAATTCCATTGAAAAAACATAGAATTTATAAAAAAACATCACACTAGAATTCAAAAAAAACATAGAAATTCAAAATAAAAACATAGAAATTATAAATATCACAAGAACACTAGAAATTCAGAAACATCACACTAGAAATTCAAACACACAACCCACTAACGAAGACAAATACTTCCAATTTGACATCATTTGGGCCCTGCCTCACAATTTTTAAAAACTCAACAAACTTGAAATCTTTGTTAGTTTCAACATGGTAAGCCTCAAAAGCATTTTGTAGCAAAGTATTTTCGTTTTAACCATTTACGGCATCATGCATCACCTACGAAACACAATTGTGAACCGAGCTGCGAGTGCGTGTATGTTTCTCCATTTGACGTAGAGTAAATCTTTTCTTCGTGGTTGAAGGGCTTGACAATTGTATATGTCAGCGACTCTACTCCAATAAGTAGTCGAAGGGTAGTCACTGTGGTGTGGATCTGTTGTTACATCAATCCATAAACGAGCAAGTAAGATCTCTTCTTTAGTCGACCAAACAATAATTACTCTTTGTGATGAGGTATAGAAAAGAATGGAAAAATAAAAAAGTTAAGAGAATATAATTATGAAGATTTGAATGAAGTGAAGAGTGAATAAGGATCAAGATATTTATAGTTGAAGGTTAAGGGTTTAAAATTTGAAATATTGAAAACAAAAACAGTTATACTTTTGAAATTATGTATTTTTTTGGAATGAAGGTATGTTTTGAAAAAAAAAAGGTTTAAGTAATAAATGGGTTAAATGAAAAAGAAATGTATCATCGGTTAATCATCGCCGAGTTGCAGAGGCCTTGACCCGGTGTTCGTCGAGTTCACCGAGTGCAAGCCGAGTTCCACACCCACCAGCCTTAGCATTAAAGAAATAGACACGGCTGTATAAACATCTGGATTGGTCATATCAACTTGGTACGATTATTAAACTCAGAAATATCAAAGCTTTTAATTTCAACATATGAACGGAGGATAGAGTTGCAGAGGCCTTGACCTGGTGTTCGCCGAGTTCACCGAGTGGAAGCCGAGTTCCACACCCACCAGCCTTAGCATTAAAGAAATAGACACACGGCTGTATAAACATCTGGATTGGTCATATCAACTTGGTACCATTATTAAACACAGAAATATCAAAGCTTTTAATTTCAACATATGAACAGAGGATAGGCGTGTACATGTACATATCTTTCCCATGGACTTCTTTTCTTGCACGTATTATAAGGCCACAATTCAACCTATTCCAGGTTATATATACTTCCATATCTAATCTCAAGTTCAATTATGAAAAAATGAATCATTTCTGAATTTCAAAATGCCTTTGGCCTAGCAGTATAGTGGATTTTAGGTGTAGAATATGAGTAGATTAGATTGCCGTTTAAACAAAAAAAAAATGTCAGAATCCTTATCTGCCGAAGTAATCAGTTATCGATCTGATATTTTTCTTGTACTTTGGCTGACATTTAAAGATTTCAGGCGTTTAATAGTGGGTTTAGGTCATTTTTGTTCACTTAACTTTTGGTTTTGTGCTCATTTAGTCATTTAACTTTGGTTTGATCACATTTAGTCACCTAACTTTTAAAATTATGTTCATTTACTAAGCTTTTAATTTTTTTCAAAAGTTTAGTGACTAAATGAGCACAATTTTAAAAGTTAGATGAGTAAATGAGCACAAATCTAAAAGTTAAGTGACTAAATGTGACCAAACCAAAAGTTAAGTGACTAAATAAGCACAAAGTCAAAAGTTTATTAACCTTTTAAAACTTAAAAAGAGTTAAGTGATCAAATGAGCACAAAACTAAAAGTTAAGTCACTAAAAATTACCTAAACCCTTTAATATTGAGTACATATAGGAAATAAGATTGTTTCACAAACTAGAAAAATAAAAACGCAATTAACCCTTTCAACAAAATACGAAAATAGGACACTGGAACAAGATAATGAAAACTGACAAACTTAATACTTATACTTGAAAACAATGTGGAAAAGAAAGAAAAACATAGCAGTAAATCGTGAACAACAAACGCAGAAAAACCCAACAAAAATCTAATGTTTAACTACAATTACGGGACTTTCCCCCATGACTGTAAAGATAGTCTGAACCACAGTAAGAACAAACAAAGTGATTCCAGCAAATAGAGCAATCATATTCCATGGACTACTGAAATATGTTCGCTTCAATCCTGCAACAGCATTCGGCCAGTAACTATTGTAGTAGCTATCCAATTCATCCCACTCTCGATGATAAAAGAAATTCTCATACACGACTTCTTTGCATATGTTGTATATTAAATTTCGTGCGTTCTGGTCAGAGCTTACTGTAACTAGGACCCCTGATTTAACCAACTTGGCAACATCCTGTGGAGTTTCTATAAGCATACCCATAGCCCATGCATATGTTGTAACGAACTTAGGAACTAGAGAAGACTGTTCGTATATAATAAGGTTCCTTAAAACCAGTTCAGTGCGATCATCAACAAGCAGTTGTGGCATCTTCAGAGTAGGCTTATTCCAAAACCATGGGAAGCATGAAAACCTTGGTAATAATTCAAGTTTCATGGCCAGTGGCCAATTATCATCTTGATTAGTCATAAAGTTCACCCCTGCCCTATCGAGTTCCATGGCCGAGTGTCTTTTTGGGAGTGTAGGAACCCCGGTTTGGATATTATTCACAGGATGGAAGTATTTATGAAAAACGCCAAGAAGATGATCATGATTGGTGTCTACGTTAACATTACGACTTACAGAATTATCTCCAAAAACATTGTAAGTTATGAGAAGCCTATGCATATATAGATTAAGAGAGGTCGCGGGATTGTATTTCAGAATAGTAGAGTCAAAGATGTCTCTAAGAACAAAAAACGGGATTTGGTTTTCTATCAGCAGTAGGTCTAAATTTATAGATGGGGTAAGCAACATGTTTAAGGGAAATGGTCCAAAACGTTCTATAATGTTATGAATGAAATAAAGTATGAAACAAGCATCTATTACCATCATTGTAACTAGTTCTTCATCGTTGTAGGTCATTGAATCTGAATAACATGCCTTGATGAGGTTTATTTTTCGACTCACCTTGAGCACACATTCTTCTAACATTTGGTCAGGGCTTGTACCTAAACTGTACAAAAAACGATGTACATATGTCGTTTTTTGAGTTTCAAATTCTTGCAAATGTTCATCTTTTTTGTGAAGAGGTCCAATGGAGACCATCCTAGGATTAAAAGATCTTGTGCTGAGATCTCGGAGCACACTAGGAACCATGAAAATTAATGGTAGACCACGATTGCCAAGATCCTTTCCCTTTTCTTTATCATCATTTAGAACCTGGAGTACAGAATGCCCGATGCTATGTTCTGTTGCAAGCTCCACATCACTTGTTGCCATTAAAAAAACTCGTAATTTTCTCTGTAACGAATCAGTTAAACAGAATTTTAGAGCATAGTAGAGTATATGTGATTTAAGAATCCAGATTAAAAAATAATAAAAATAACACCTAAAGGCAATGGAGTTAACTTCCTTGTAAGTTTCGTCTTGATGATCTATACTACTTCGTTTGGCTTTGTAGTTTGCACAAACTATGTCTAAGGGGTATATATATATATATATATATATATATATATATATATATATATATATATATATATATATATATATATATATATATATATATATAGGTTCAGGTTCATTTGAAACTATTCTAATTTTGTGAGACCATGAGACCAAATCTAAAAATAATTTTAAAAATGCAAAAAAAAATGGAAAAATCCAAAAATTCTTTTTTTAAATATTATTTTCGGAACTTGAATTAACTAAAAAAAAAAAAAAATTCCGTTTTTTTTTTTAAAAATACGTGAAATATTCTAAATAGAATATTATACTGACATATTCTAAAAAATAATTTTAAAATGCAAAATAAATGGAAAAATCTAAAAATTCTTTTTTTAAATATTATTTTCGGAACTTGAATTAACTAAAAAAAATAAAAAAAAAATTCAGTTTTTTTTTTTTTTGAAAAATACGTGAAATATTCTAAATAGAACATTATACTAACATATTCTAAAAAATAATTTTAAAATGCAAAATAAATATAAAAATCTAAAAATTCTTTTTTTAAATATTATTTTCGGAACTTGAATTAACTAAAAAAAAATAAAATAAAAAAATAAAAAAAAATTCTATTTGTTTTGAAAAATACGTGAAATATTCTAAATAGAATATTACACTGTATATATTCTAAAAATAATTTTAAAATGCAAAATAAAGGGAAAAATCAAAAAATTCTTTTTTTAAATATTATTTTCTGAACATGAATTAACAAAAAAAAAATAAAAAAATAAAAAATAAAAAAATGCGTCTCACGGTCTCACAAAATATAGGTGGTCTTAAATGAACCTAACCCTATATATATATATATATATATATATATATATATATATATATATATATATATATATATATATATATATATATATATGTTCCGAAAATGATATTTAAAAAAAGAATTTTTTGATTTTTCCATTTATTTTGCATTTTAAAATTATTTTTAGAATATGTACAGTGTAATATTCTATTCAGAATATTTCACGTATTTTTCAAAAAATAATAGAAAAATTTTTTATTTTTTTTTTATTTTTTTTAGTTAATTCAAGTTCCGAAAATAATATTTAAAAAAAGAATTTTTAGATTTTTCTATTTATTTTGCATTTTAAAATTATTTTTTAGAATATGTCAATGTAATATTCTATTTAGAATATTTCACGTATTTTTTTAAAAAAAAAACGGAAGTTTTTTATTTTTTTATATTTTTTAGTTAATTCAAGTTCCGAAAATAATATTTAAAAAAAGAATTTTTGGATTTTTCCATTTATTTTGCATTTTAAAATTATTTTTAGATTTGGTCTCACGGTCTCACAAAATTAGAATGGTCTAAAATGAACCTGAACCTATATATATATATATATATATATATATATATATATATATATATATATATATATATATATATATATATATATATATATATATATATATATATATATATATATATATATATAGGGTTAGGTTATTTTGTTTTTACTAACTATTGTGTCCTAGAATGCACAGATCTGAATCATCGGATGGAATATAATCAAAGGTTATGATTTAAGGATCTATGATAGTAGAATATGATAGCATGTACCATATAATCACATAAATTTCATAATAAGGGCATTTTAATCAATTAACCTATATTAAAAAAGGAAATATTCGGATTTTTAAGAATGATTAATTCCTTTAGTTTTTAAAATGTTGAATATTTTAAATTAATTCAAATTTAAAAATCCGATTTTATTCTGTCAGAATGCTAGATAGCCAACCATAAACTAATAAATATATTTTTCGATTTTATTCTGTCAGAATGATAGAATGTCAAACATAAACTAGTAAATACATTCTGAAAGAATACACAAATCAATTCTTGAACTAAATAATATAACAAATAATTACATTGTATGATTGTGATTAATTGAATAATAAGTACATTCTGAAAAAAAAAATTTTAAAAAAAACATCAAAATCTAACAAAAACATAATCTATTCTGAAAGAATATTATTTTTAAGCAACACTTTATACATTGTAGCATAACACATTCTGCTATAATACACTCTTATTCTATATGTTTTCTTCCTTCTCCACATCAATGTTAGCCTCTTTAAAACCTGAATCCACAAAGAAAAGATAAACAAGTTTCAAAAATTAAACAATTCAATGCATTCTAATAGAATACAACAATAAAAATTCTTATAGAATAAACTATTCTTGCATAATGGTTTTGAATATTTTTTACCTTCTTCATTATGAAAGAATATCAGCCTTCTTCAAACTAAAGCCCTCTTTATTCTAAAAGAATATTACCCTCATTATGAAAGAATTAATTTTAAATAACTCAATGCATACAGAAAATGTATCCATTAACAATATAAATTTGCAACAACAATTTCATTATGAAACCAAAAAACCAAACATCATAATTTTAGAGGAATGTCATGTCAAGTAAACAATTTAACCAATTATAAGTATGAATTATTTTATTATTTAACAAATTTAATAATACACTTACAAGTAAGAAAATTGTTATAGTATAAATTGTATATATCACAATCAATTTTTTGTTATAGATTCCAAGAGCTTAGCAAACCACCATATAATACATAGCATATATTGTTTGATAAATAATCTTCAAAACTACAAAAGCAATCATAATTCATTAAAATATACTACCTTTTAATGGGTTAGAGCAAATCATTATATGCAATGAATCGACAATCGCAATATACACACTAACAAAAATTCAATCAGATGCCGATTAGATTCAATTACAAAGACCCGATTAAATTTTAAAATCAATTACAAAAAGCCATATACAAAAAGGAATTGATGATACCGTGATATATAGGATTTCGGCCGATACAACCTCCTAGTTTACAAGGCAATTTCTTCCATTGGATTTGCTGATTTCTAGCTTGTTGTTGATTGAGTCGCCGGTGGCCTAGGGTTTTAGATGGCATACGTGATTTAATAGGGATATGGCGGAAGAAGCAGGCCACAGACGTTAGTCTCTTGATGATGGAGGTGTTTTTATCTTTGAAATGGTTAGGGTTAAACGAAGAAGTTAACATAAATATAGGTTCAATCTAGAAATTAGAATTAGAATTATGCGATGAGGAAATAATAAGCCAGTGGCGGTGGCTATAAGGACAGAGGATGATGTCGTCAGTGGCTACGTCTGATGGTATTGACGGAGACGAAATCACAGATTTCCTAGATGAGGGTGTACGTGCGTATTTGGAGAAAACGGTGGTTATGAGGACTTTCGTGATTTAGGGTTTGATTCTTGATTGATCGATTGTAAAAGAAGAAGCAAAATCGGTGGATTAGAAAGGATGGTGAGTTCTATTTAGAGCTAATGTTCTAAATTTATATTCGCAGGAATCAGGAATATTAATTATGTACCATAATTAATTATGCAAAGATTACAATAATACCCTTAAATGATTTATTTTTTCCTAAAATCCTATTGGTGCATTCATGCACACAATAGTTGCTAGAAACATTTGAACCTAGCTATATATATATATATATATATATATATATATATATATATATATATATATATATATATATATATGTTGGATTAGTATCTAAGTCCTTAATTATTTTGGTATGTACTTGACCCGATGGTGCAAGGTCCTTTTGGGTTGCCTTCACCAAAGCAACTTGATTGGAGAAATAAATAAAGAGAGAGAGGTTATTATGATTTATTAATATGTTATAAGAATAATATATATTAAAGGAGAAATCATATTTGTTTAATTAATATTGGTCGATAGTTAATTAGGAATTAATTTTGTGATCAAGTGTAATTAATTAAACTAGAGGGGCTGATTTGTAATTATGTGATAGTTACAAAATAAGGTAAGGATTATCTTAAATATAGGGTGAACGAATTTGAGGTGATAAGGCCTTAGAATTCGACTATGATAAGGATTCAAGGATTATCTTATGGGTTGCTTTGTGGATAACCAACTAGATAAGGATAATGACTGAAACCCTATCTCTACACCTATATAAACACCCCTTGGCTCATGAATTCGTGTATCCCTTCCCAAGGAGTCCTAAGGACGAATTCTAACCTCTCTCCTCTCTCTTTATACCTTCTTCATTTGCTCTTGGTGTTTGTAAGCCATTAGAGGAGTGACACTTGTGACTCTAAGCATTCCAAAGTCAATTCAAGGAGGAATTGGGATTGTTATTGCTATATAACAATCAAGGTAACATCTTAAACCCCATTCATATGTTAATATCTATTGCATATACTTGAATTAGGGTTTATAGTCTTGGATTCAAAGCATGTACAATAGAGAAACCTAGATCCAAGCATTAGGGTTTGTATGAGCACATAGGATGTCTTATGACCAAAACCCATCAGTGGTATCAGAGCCTAGGATGGTTTCAATTGTATTGATGCATTGTATATCTAAAAAAATTCGATTTTTGATGTTTTAGAGGCTGGACTCGTCAAGTCGATAGCTGAACTCGCCAAGTCCAGGGTGATTCGACGATTCCAGGCTTGACTCGACGAGTTAACTCGTCAGATAATGCTTATCTCGGGATTTCTTGCTGTTTTTGCATTAGGATAGTTACCTTATCATGTTAGATCAATATAAATCCGATTTTATGATATATATGACTATATCCTTGATCTAATTAAAGATAATTA